TTTGAAGTTCGTAATGGATACTACAGCCTGTCACAGAAAATTTTCTGTGCAGGTCCACGTCATCATATAGACCCTAATATAATTTTAATAGAATTTTATTTTATTATTTTTTTTTTTTTTTTTGAGAAGTGCCAAATTGGTTCCAAATGGTGGAGGGTATTCAAAGTTCGGCCCGGCCGAACATACAGCTTTTTTATTTGTTTTTCAATGATTTTATAGCCCTAACTCCATTTTTTAGAGGGAACAATGAGTGTAGCTATTTAGCATTTTGATGAAATTTTACAAATTCCTATTAAATGATGTATGATATAGAGTTTGGCCCGCCGAACTCAGCTCTTTAATTGACTTCTTTATATTTTCCGCGTAAAGAATACGCTCATCTTTATGAAACATTTTTAAGGGTAAGGAAATTGATTTCGCTTGCTTTGTTGACATTTGCTTTACGGCATGTTAGTTGCGGATCAGTTAGGGCTGCAATCTCCTGCCATTAGCCACCCTCCCCCCCCTCTTTTTTGTTTTAATTGTTGCATCTGTTCTTAAACTTCCTCGTAGGCACTAAATTGTTTCTCGAGCATTAGCCTATGCATTTCGGGCTCTATTTCCTTTATATTAATTTGTGGATCAGAAGCAGTCTCAATTTCATAACCTTAATTCACTATGCGAAATTTATGTTGAGGTTATCCCATATGTATTCTTCAAAACGGGGATCTGGGTTTTCATCACTTTCACTTTGTCATTCCGTTTGTAACTCTTCGAAATACGAAAATCCTACATATTCTTTATCAATCGAATTAAAAGACGATTTAGCGATGTCTATCTGTCTGTTTGTTGTAATTACGCTACCTTTCGCACGAAATGAGATAGAAACATATAATTTTGCACACAATAGTATTCTGCAAATATTGTGAATACCAATATTAGGTATTTTGAATTAGATTCATGATTTTTGCAACATGTTTCCACGGATTTCTATAAATATTGGCATATGTAGGTCATAATGGGTTCTAGTTCCGGTGGCGGAACATTGTATGAATAAGTCCACATTTCCGTATTGCCCCCATATAATGGTACCCCTCGATATTCGGTGTTTTGATGATTGTTGTCACATTATCCACGGATTCGTCTAAAAATTGGTATTTGTAGTTCTTAATGGGTTTTCGCTCCAGTGGCAGAACATTGCATATCTAGGTACATGATTTCCTACAGCCGCCATATAATGGTACCTACTGATGTTCGGTATTTTCATAAACATTATCACATTTAATTTTTCAAATTTGGCCTTTAAGACTTGTAATATATAGCAATCCTGGTAGTATAAAGTTGTCTAAATGGGTACCCCTTTTGATATGGCATCCTATGTTTTTTTTTTGAAAAGTTTAACTGCATTATCCATACGGTTTTACAGGTATTTGTAGTTCAAAGTGGAACACGGTTGAATTAAGATACTTCTATAAACAAATTTTTGCTTTACCCAATGGTGGAGGGTATTAAAAGTTTGGTCCGGCCGAACTTTATGTTTTTTACTTGTTATACTCTCTACCATACTATGAAGGGTGCCTTTAAGTGTTAAGAGGTTCTAATTCCATGTGCGATTACAATCGCTTCATATTTCCAATTCTATTCACATGCCTTTATATGCGCACAATTGCATTTTTATACCCTCCACCATAGTATTAAGTTTGTATTAAGCTTGTCATTCCGTTTGTAACACCTCGAAATATACATTTATACCCCACAAAGTATATATATTCTTGATCAGCATAAAATTCTATGTCGATTTACCAATGTCCGTTCGTCTATCCGTCTGCCCGTCTGTGGAAATCACTCTAGCTTCCGAACGAAATGAAGAAGGTTGATAAAATTTTACTCAATGGTGTATTATGCCTGCCGGACTTTTGGTATTGAAAATGGATAGCCCCCATATAACGGTACCTCCAGATATTCGGTATTTTGATGATTTTAGCGACATTAGTTACCGGAATTGTTTGAAATTTGGTATTTGAAGTTCGTAATAGATACAGCATAAAACCGAAAATGGTAGGTCCACTTCTTCGTATAGTCCCCATATAACGGTACCTCCGATATTCGGTATTTTGATGATTTTAGCGAGACTATTTACGGGAATTCTTTTAAATTTGGTATTTGATGTTCGTAGTAGTATTCGAAGTTCGTAATGGATACTACAGCCTATGCCAGAAAATTGCGTGCAGGTCCACGTTTTATAACACCCTATATTCGGTATTTTGATGATTTTAGCTACATTATAAACAGTTTTTTTTGTTCAAGTTTCGCATTTGAATATTGTTAGCATGTGACAAAAGTTGCCTATGTAGGTCCACGTCGTAGAGACCCTAATATACATCTACGTTCGGTATTTGTAAGATTTTACCAGCATTTTTAAAGGGCCATGTAGGTCCACGTCTTCGTATAGCCCCCATATAACGGTACCTCCAGATATTCGGTATTTTGATGATTTTAGCGACATAAGTTACCGTAATTGTTTCAAATTTGGTATTTGAAGTTCGTAATGGATACTTCAGCCTATGATAGAAAATTGTCTGTGCAGGTCCACGTCCTCGTATAGCCCCCATATAACGGTACCTCCCGATATTCGGTATTTTGATGATTTTAGCGAGACTATTTACCGGAATTCTTTTAAATTTGGTATTTGATGTTCGTAGTAGTATTTGAAGTTCGTAATGGATACTAGAGCCTATGCCAGAAAATTGTGTGCAGGTCCACGTTTTATAATCCATGGTATCACACTATATTCGGTATTTTGATGATTTTAGCTACATTATAAATAATTTTTTTCAAGTTTCGCATTTGAATACTTTAAGCATGTGACAAAAATTGCTTATATAGGTCCACGTCGTAGAGACAATAATATACGGCTACTTTCGGTATTTTTAAGATTTTAACAGAATATTTAACGGATTTTATTTTTTTGAAAATTGCCAAATTTGTACCAAATGGTGGAGTGTATTCAAAGTTCGGCCCGGCCGAACTTACAGTTTTTTTACTTGTTATTAGACAATATTTTTCATTATAAATGCGATTCCAGCGGCATGAAGTGTTACTATCACGTATGCTCTTACATTTTTTGTACATTTCATCGGGATATAAAAACAAAAAATTTAATCGCCTAAACCATTTAACGTCAATATTGTTAAACAACCTATTATGGTCATTTGAATATTCTCCCAAATGTGGGAACCTATATTATCCTGATAGCCTATTACGCTCATAATTCTTATAAATAGAATTATAAGTATTATTATTACTAAAATTAGAATAAATAAAAAATTAGTAAGTACATAAATAAATAAATACGTGTGATGATATGTGATGGGATTTCCAGCATCTCAATCAAAAATTTTATTTCTTTAACTTATCAATTTCTTTGTGTTTTTTTTAATTGGGACCATTCATAGTATATATATCAAACTGACTCTTTTCATGCAGGCTTACATCGTTTAAGACTAACGAATGCAATTCCATTGTTACTTCGTTACGTATTTGTGTGTGCGATCTTAGTTTGGATAATTCATAATTATTTGTAGACACATCCTTTCCCAACGTCTCTTTGCACTTATTTATGATTGACTCTGTTAAAAATGGAAGATATCCATCTCATAGTTATATAAACCTAGCTGATTTGGTCCTCCTTGCAGGGCTAAGTTATATTATGCTTTTTTAACAACATCATAATCGTCAAATTGAATAAATTTATTGGCTTCCTTCTATACGAAGCCCCCACATATAGATGAGTGCAGATTTTAAGTCTGTTGATGCTTTGAGACACATTGTCGAACTTTTAATACCCTCCATCTTTTAATACCCACAAAAACCATCAAACCACAAAAACCATCACCATTTGACAAAAACCATCAAAATATCGTATCGTATCGTGTTTTCAAATTATTAGAAACAACAAGTTAAAAAGCAGTAAGTTCGGCCGGGCCGAACCCTCCACCATTTGGAACGAATATGAAAATTTTCAAAAAAATAAAGTCCTTAAAAAATTCTGTTAAAATTTTAAAAATACCGAATATAGGCGTTATATTGGGGTCTATACGACTTTTACCTACATAGGCCTTGTTTGTCTTAAGCCATTACCATATTCAAATTCGAAACTGGAAAAAAAGGAGAATAATGTAGCTAAAATCAATCAAAATATCGTATATAGGGAGGTACCGTTATATCGGAGCTGTGCGAAGACCTGGACCAGCATAGACAATTTTCTGTCACAGGCTTTAGCATCCATTACGAACGTCAAATATGACATCTCAAAAAATGTCGATGAGTATTGTACCTACCGACAATTTTCTGTCAAATACAGTAGTTTTCATTACGATCTCTAAATATGTAATTTGAAACAATTCCATTAAATAATGACGCTAAAATCATCAAAATGCCATTTTTTGGGAGGTACCGTTATATGGGGAAGACGTGGACCGTTGTCATAGGCTGTAGCATTCATTACGAATCTCAAGTACCAAATTTGAAACAATTCCGGTGAATAATGTCGCTAAAATCATTAAAATACCGAATATCGGGAGGTACCGCTGTATGGGGGCTATACAAAGACGTGGACCTGCACAGATAATTTTCTGTCATAGGCTGTAGTATTTATTTCGACCTTCAAATATTACATTTGAAACCATTCTGGTGAATAATGTCGCTAAAATCATCAAAATACCGAATATCGGGAGGTACTTATATATAGGGGGCTACATGAAAACGTGGACCTACATGGCCCATATACGAACTTACGCCTACTAAAAAAAATAAACACGTGTGCAAAATTTTAGCCTTTTATCTCAATTCGTTCGAAAGATAGCGTGATTACAACAGACAGACAGACGGTCAGACAGACGGACATGGCTAAATCGACGTAAAATTGTACGCTGATCAAGAATATATATACTTTGTTTCGTCTGACATGAGTATTTCGAGGAGTTACAAACGGAATGACAATGTTAATATATCCTCCATAGTATGGTGGAGGGTATAACAAAGAACAATTTGTGAGTGGACGAACAGACACAAGAACAGTGAAGGAACAGAAAAAAATACAGTGGGTGCAAAAATAAGTGCAAAGTTAAAACAAAAGTTTTGAAAAAAAAACTTTGTAATATCAAATAAATAAAATATTAAATAAATAAAAGAAAAGCAAATCACAAAACGTAAATAATTTATCTTATCGGTGTTATTAAAAATAATGTTCGGTTCTCAAATATGTATTTAGAAGTGTTTGTTTATATTTTTTGTCTGGAATACTAAGGTAAATTATTAGTTTATTTAGATTGTTTGCGACATATATAGACATTTATATACACTTTTTTATTATGTACAAGGAATTTTGAAGGTTGTAGATACATTATCTTGCTTAGTGAAATAATTTAGATACATTCCCATATGCAACTCCATGTCGTAGATGTTTTACCCATGTTGTTTAAATGACTCGAATGCATTATCCACGTTTTTGGATAAGTTAGATTTATTATCCAGGTTTTGGATAAGTTGGTATATTATAATATATTATCCAAATTACATTATGCACGCTATTTGGATAAGGAAGATACATTATCCATGTTGTTTGGATAAGACAGATAAGTTATCCACGTTGTTTGAATAACAAATTATTCACGTTACAAACACATATATATTATACAAGCCATAGATTTATTATCCAAATTGTAGATACATTATCCGCTCTATTCGGATGAGGCAGATACATTACCCATATTGTTTGGATAACAAAGTATTCACGTTGCAGACACTGTTTCCATATTCTCGACACATTATCAGCGTTGTTGATACATTATTCAAATCGTAGATACGATATCCACATTGTACAATCATTACCCACGATGTTTGGTTAAGGCACATGCACTATCCAAGCTTTTTTGTTAATGTGGATACATTCTTCTTATTGTTTTGATAACGTTAAATTATCTGGTTTTTGGTTGGAATATCGGAGATACATTATCGCATTGTTGAAATATCGTAGATACATTATCCATGTCTTTAAAAAATAAATTGTGTACCTTGTTCGGTTTTCTTAAATACATTATCTATGTTGTTTGGATATTATCAATTATCAATGTGGATTGGATAACGTAGTTACAAAATATAAGCAACTTGGATAACATAGATATATTATCGACGTAATTTAAATAACTTCGATGCATTATCCTCGATTTTTGTATAACATAGATCAACGCTCACCAACACACCGCCCATTGGAGATTCACCACACCTCGCACACAATCAAGGGAATAATTTAAAATTGGGTGTTTAGAGTTTATAACTGGTTCTACCTTCTATGGCGGAACGTTGGCTATATAGATCCATGTTTTCCGATTTTCGTTAGTTTGACTATTTTAGTCACATTTCCTAACGGTAGTACCTAAAATACGGTATTTAAATTTCGTACGAATTTAACAAAAAAAATAGACTTTGCACAGTGGAACAAAAGTGAAGTTACACAGTGCTACAAAAAAATAAAATTTTTAAAATTGTAGAAAAATTAATTTTTTCTTCAATTTAAAAAAATATACAATTTACAAAAAAATTTACAACAAATAGTGATATTAAAATTTTTTATACAAAAAGAGACTATACACAGTGTTACACAAGAAACAATATAAAGTGACACAAAAAACAACAACAACACGAAGAGTTTTGGAACCAGCAGCAAGCAGGACGGACACAAGCAGCACAACAACAACACACGGTACAACACCCAAAATCAAAGTGAGTACTCGTGAAATTTTCTTTTTTGACACAAAAGGACATTTCGGGAGCAGGCAAATCTTCAATATTTGCATTGATCCGCATATTCCCATATTTTGCAAGATAACTTTGCCACATATTCAAAGCTGCTAGTTGCCCACTCAGACACAGTGAAAGAAATTTTGCATTTGGAGCCATTTTTGTGGACAGACATTTGGCTATTGATCCAGAAAAAAGCAGACAGACACATATTTTTTTTCAAAAATAGTGGGAATTTTCATCCGTATACAAGTTCAGGTGAATACATAAGCGCCATATTGACACAAATACATAAGCTTTTAACTTTGGAAAATTGGCGTCACCAAACTTGGCAAACATATAAACGCCATATTGGCAAAACTATATACAAATTTGGAAACAAAGCGTCGAGTAAATAATAACCTTTTTAAAAAATAGCGTCTGGTTGACAGTAGAAAAATAACCAACATTTTTTTTAAATTTTTGAGAAAAAAAAAGCAAGCGTCTGGTGGACAGACATACATGTGATACAAAACCTACAATTTTTTTGAAATTTTTGAAAAAAAAGAAACAAACAAGCATGCGTCTTGTGGACAGACATACATGTGAAATATTTTGCTGGTTTTTCTAACTTTGCGACTTGAAAAATTTCGACACTTTTTGGATTTTTTACGTTATTTTTTTGCGAAAAATATTTGGATTTTGGCCCAAATAATTTTCACTCGAAATATTTTGCTTGGACATTTTAGCTTCATGAAATTTTTTGCTGAAATATTTGGACCTTGACCAAAATCAAATTCTTTTGAAAAATTTTGCTCAAAATTTTGGATTCTGGCCCAAATTATTTATTTTTTTTTTTTTTTTGAAATATTTTTCGAGAAATTTTTCAAAATTATTTTCTCTAACTCTCGTTGCGAATCTGATCAAAAATTTAGCGAATTTAGAAAATTTGTTGAATCAGACAAATTTTCACTGCAATAATCAAAGTTATTGGCTTCTTAAAATAAAATCCTCCTGTCATAGGATATTAACCCATTAACGCCGACGGGTGCGAAAACGCACCAAAAATAGAGATGTTTTTGAGCATGCATAGAAACGGTTTCATATTCGATATCGCTTTTCTATTTCATTGTATAGATAGTAGATGGATGGGGCTATTTTTTTGACTGGCTTTTTTTCACCTACATGACGATAAACGCATCGCCAAGTGCAGGTTTTCTCATATACAAAATTCAAAATTGTACATATAAACGTCTTTGCATATATACGTGTTTGCGTTTTCGCACCCGTCGGCGCTAATGGGTGCTCTTTTACTAAGAAAAGTATTTTCGGTTAACCATATGTGCGAACGCTAATGAAAATAAAATTGTTCTCAGTAACGCCGACGGGTGCGAAAACGCACCACCCCCTGAACGAGCAAGGGGTAGAGATAGGGAATATGAGTGACATTATGGTATCCTCCACTAACTTTCAATATTTTTCACCCACTAATAATTGAGCCGGCGTTAATGGGTTAAGCGATTTAAGGTGAAAATTTTGGATTTTTATTCGACAACGCAGGGCACATTTTTACTTCGAAAAAAAAAATGTCGTTTATTGAAACAATATATCTCTGACAATTTCCTTGCAATCTCGTTTTCACTGTTTTTAAAAAAAAAAAAAACTTTTGAACTATTTTTCGATATACAAAAATAAAATCCTCCTGTAAGTGGACTTTAAGAGATTTTATTTTTTGTTAATTTTGGCAAAAAAGTTGTCCCCTTCTGACAACCCAACACACAATTTTTACTTCGTTTAAAAATTTTTGGATCTCTGAAATTTTTTTTTTGGAATTTTTAACTTCCCTTTGACTATCAAACTAGACTCTCGTTTTTTTTGGGGGATGGGGATGTTTGATGTCGATGTTAAAGGATGGGATCCGATTTTAATATACATTTGTTCAACAAAATTACCTAGAGGATTTTTAGAAGAATTCGAGAACTCATTAAGCGATTTGTAAACAAATTCAAAAATGGGAACAGTTTGACGCTTTATTATCAAACAAATTCAAAACCTTGGAATCAGTTGGTAATATAAAGCCCTCAACATCGAAATTTGCTCAACAAAAACCCACTAACAATCTCACGCCTAGATTTTTGAAAACATATAGTGGAAGCACGACCTAGTACTAGTGATGCCGCTATTACAAATCAAATACAGTCCACTACAAACCTAGAACCAACTACTATTACTACTTTGACCCTCCAAGACAAGCAAATTTGTGAGCGACAATCTGGAGGAACACTATTTTTCACAGCAATAGTACAAATTGAAACCAAAGGACAACTTCACAATGCCCGAGTTCTAATAGACTCAGGATCACCATCCACCTTACTTATTGGAATGGACATTGGACCATTAATATTCACAATTGGAACTTCAATGAAAACATTTGGATCAATCTTAACACAAAAAACCAAATTTGGATGGATAGTTGGAGGACCCATACCAGGAACCACCCTTCAACGAAAACAAATATCACTTCTAAACACAACTTCAATGGAGAAAGTACTTACACGTTTTTGGGAGTTGGAAGAGACCCCTAAACAAGTTTTACGGTCAGAAGAAGACCAATTTTGTAAACAAAACTACACTGAAACAACAATATGGAACAAGGATGGAAGATATGTGGTGACTCTCCCGTCCAAAAAATGCCAGAGATCAAAGAACAATATGATGCCTCAAGACTTGAATCATATGAGGAAAATCAATGCGAATGAAATAGATAAAATGCCAAATTATTATCACGCTGTGATGAAACCCGATCGACTCACAACGAAGTTAAGAGTCGTATATAATGCTTCTTGTCCTACATCAAACAAAACTAGTCTAAACGACATGCTATATCCTGGACCCATTCTACAACAGGATTTAGTATTGCAAATTTTAAAATGGACATTCTTTAAATATGCCCTCAATCCAGATATAACAAAGATGTATCGCCAAATACTTTTGGATTCGAATCAAAGAAATCTCTTTCGACAGTCTTCTGAAAACCCAGTAGAGGATTATGAGCTGCTATTAGTTACATGTGGAGTTAACTGCGCAACATATTTAGCATTGAAATTTCTTCTTGAACTATCAGGGGATGTAAAAGATTCGTATCCTAGAGCCGCAAACACAATTTTGAATAATTTATATGTTGATGATGCATTAGCTGGCGGCCACACTGAAGATGAATTAATGAAAGCTCGAAAGGAATTAACACTCATGAAATGGACGCCAAATGATCACAAAATTATACAAGATATTCCACATGAACATTTACTACCACTTAATTGGCTAGACATTTTCGAAGATGCTTCTACTAAAACCCTTGGAATTCGATGGAACATCTCAGGCGATTATTTTTCCTTCACACCACATTCAATGGAAAATAAAAATGTATCTTCAAAACGAGAAGTTTTTTCAACGATAGCCAAATTATTTGACCCATGTGGCTGGAACCGGTGGTTGTTGTAGCTAAGCTAATAATGCAACAAATCTGGCTACACAAAATTGACTGGCATGATCAATTAAAGCCAATAACTCAGATGAACTGGAACAATTTTGGTAAAAATAGCAAAGATATTGAATATCTCAGAGTTCCTGGATGGATTCAATACACGCTTGATGTTTCTGTAGAAATTCATGGATTTTGTGACTCGTCGGAAAGCGCTTATGGAGCCATTCTATATATTAGGGTGGAAAATACTGACCATACCACACATACATTCTTACTATCAGCAAAGACTCGTGTCGCTCCAATTAAACAAATTTCAATACCTAGACTCGAGTTATGCAGGGCAGTATTACTCTCCAAGTTAGCAAGATCCATTGTTAATAGCCTACAAATATCAAAATATTCGACACAATTTAGGACAGACTCTACCATCGCCTTAGCATGGTTAAAAAAGCCACCTTGTCATTGGAGCACATTTGTTGGAAATATAGTCTCGGAAATTGCTGATAATGTTGAACAAGAAAATTGGAGACATGTTGATTCGGAATATAATCCAGCTGATATTGCGAGCCGTGGATGTTCGCCTGCAGAGCTAAAGACTAGTGATCTCTGGCGGCAGGGACCTCAATGGCTCAGAATACCTAAATACCGTTGGCCATCACAAGATATCTTAAATGACACAAAATTGGAAGCCAAAACGGCAGAAGTCATGACACTTTTTGCGGAAAGAGATGATCCTTTAAAATATTTCTCTTCTTTAGCTAAAGTTTATCGATCATACGCATATGCTTTAAGACTCTGGAAAAATACTGGAGCAAATAGACAACACCTTCGCACCTCATCAACAGACCTTACATCAGATGAAATCCAAGATGGAAAATGAACTTGCATAATTCGCTCACAGAAATTAGTGTATGCCGACGAGTACAACCTTCTAATGAAAAAAACTCAAATTTCTCCTTCAAGTCCTCTATTGGCACAAAACCCGTTTCTAGACTCAAAGGGTATTATTAGAGCAAATGGTAGATTGGTACAATCGCCAGCCCTAACATATAGCGAACGTCATCCAATAATACTACCACATGACGCAAAGCTTAGCAAATTGTTAGTCGAATTTATTCATAACATTACCTTACATGGTGGTAATCAATTAATGGCCCGAATATTAAGGTCCGAATTCTGGATATTTGGACTCAAGTCGATAATCAAACAAGCCATACGAAAATGTCGAATCTGCTTAATACACAAAAAACAAACCCAAACTCAAATAATGGCTTCGCTACCACCAGAACGTACTTTTCTTTCTCGACCCTTTACAAACACAGGGGTATATTTCGCAGGACCCTTTAACATTAAAAGTTATTCAGGAAGAGCTTTCTCTATTACAAAAGGCTACATGTGCCTGTTTGTTTGTTTCGCCACTAAGGCTATACATTTAGAACCCACAAGCGATTTATCGAAATAGGCCTTTCTTGCCGCTTAAGTCGGCGAGGTTGTCCGTCTTATATATTTTTGGATAACGGAACTAACTTTGTGGGAGCGGTTGATCCATTAAAGCGAGATAGATTAGATTTCATGAAGAATATTCAAAATAGCACAATTCAAAATAATTTCGCTTAAAATCTTACTTGGAAATTTATTCCTCCTGGTGCTCCGCACATGGACTTGCCCAGCACATGGGTAACCCAGCTTCACCTTCCCGTCGATCACCAAGAAGCGCCAATAGACCCATACGGTCACGCTATGAGAGATCCAGTTACTGGCAATATTCTTGTGGGGTCTGCCAAGATGACCATGTCCTCGGTGCTTGTGAGAGGTTCCGCCGGCAGACGCCCTTCCAGCGGTATGAGACCGTGGACCGTCGGGGGTATTGAAGAAATTGCCTGGCGAGAAGTCATTTGGCCCCCGACTGTCCGTCATTAACTGGTTGCCGGAGATGCAACGACCGCCACCATACCCTATTGCACGGGGCGTCTTAATTGGACGATGTATCCCTCAACATAGAAGCCGTCACCACCCCAGCCTTCGCATGGGATTTGGTTTTTGTACCAACAGCGATGGTACGCAAAACGGCCGAGGGCATGGAGGGTTTTAGTACGCTACGAGCCATCATTAGCCAATATGCGACGATATCTAAGATTTCGTATGCCGCGTTCCGTCGACTGGGTCTGCAGTCGCGAGTTTACAAAGGGGAGCGATTCACCACCTTCAACGTTTCGCCCCGCCGCACAAACAGCACTTGGAGTCTGTAGGTAAATGCAGACCCCATCCTAGAAGACCCCACGAGATGTTTCACGTATTACGCCCTTGCTGGCCAAAAACTGGTTTGCTGTGACGACGCAAATTGGACATCAATCAGTTTTCATGTAATTACCGTCGCGAAGACAAGCTTACCCCCAGAAAAGAAAAAAGCAAAATTAATAACTATTACAAACAAAAAAAATCAGTGAAAATTTAACATACAAGAAGAATCTTTACAAAACAAGAACATACAACAAAAAGGTGTAAAAATTGTAAAACTTACTTCATAAAACCTACAAACTACTCAATGTAAAAATATTTTAATCAAAAACTTAAAATCTAGTGAAATAAAACTTATAAATTATTGAAAAATTTCGTATAGCCCCAATATAACGTGGACCCACATGGCCTATTTTCTGTCTTCAGCCTCAGCATCTATTACGAACTTTAATTATTAATTTTGAAGCAATTCCGGTAAAAAAATGTCGCTAGAATCGTCAAAATACCGCATATCGGAAGGTACCGTTATATGGGGGCTATACGAAGACGTGGACCTACATGGCCCATTTTCAATACCAAAAGTCCTGCAGACATAGTACATATTTGAGTAAAATTTTATCAACATACTTCACTTCGTTCGGAAGCTAGTGATTTCCACAGACGGACAGACGGAAAGACTAGCGAACATTGATAAATCGACATATAATTTTATGCTGATCAAGAATATATATACTTTGTGGGGTCTAAAATGTTAAAAACGGAATGACAAACTTAATATACCCTCCATACTATGGTGGAGGGTATAAAAACCAAGTTGAAATAAATAAAATAAACAAGTAAGAAAACATTAAGTTTGCCGGGCCGAACTTTTAATATCCTCCACCTTAGGGGAATGGAATCACTAGAACCAATTATGACCCACAAATACCAATTTTTAGACATATTCGTGGGAAGGTACCGCTATATAGGAAGGTACCACTATATAGTTCCGGTGGAGGAACATTGTATGTATAGGCACATATTTTCGTATAGCCCCCATATAACGGTACCTTCCGATATTGAATATTTTCAAGATTGTACCACATTTTCCACAAATTCGTCTAAAAATTGGTATTTGTAAGTCATAATGGGTTTCGGTGGCAGAACATTATATGTATTGGTCCCTATAACGATACCTCACGATATTCGGTATTTTGATGATTTTGGTCACATTATCCACGTATTCGTCTAAAAATTGGTATTTGTAGTTCTGAATGGTTTCCGCTACAGCAACAGCAGATTGAATATCTATACCCATGTTTTCTTATAGCCGCCATACTGATATTCGGTTTTCTGATAATCTTTGTCACATTTACTCACGGAATTTTTTCAAATTTGGCTTTTAAGACTTGTACTATAAAGATGTCTAAATGGGTACCCTTTTTGATATGTCCCCCCATATAACGTACTCACTCACCTGATATTAATATATGGTATATTAAGTATGTCATTTCGTTTGTAACTGCCCGAAATATTTATAATAGACCCTACGAAGTATATATATATTCTGGAGCGTAAAATTCTAAGACGATCTAGCGATATCTGTCTCTCTGTCAGTTGTTATCACGCTATCTTTCGAAGGAATTGAAATAGAAGGCTAAAATTTTGCATGCTTGCATAGTTTACCAGTACCAGGTTACGTGCGTAAATGGGCCATGTCGGTCCACATTTTCGTATAGCCCCCATATAACGGTACCTCCCGATATTCGGTATTTTCCTGATTTTAGCGATATTAATTTTCGGAATCATTTCAAATTTCGTATTTGAAGTTCGTAATGGGTACTACAGCCTATGACAAATATTTGTGTATGCAAGTCCACGTCGTCGTATAACTTTCACATAACGGAACCTCCCGATAGTCGGTATATTGATGATTTCAGCAACATTATTCACCGGAATTGTAACAAATTTCATATTTAAGGTACTATAGCCTAAGACAAAGAAATTATATGTAGGTTCTAAAAACTTTCGTAAGCAGATCCACGCATTTGTATAGTCTTCATATAACAGTTTTCATTTAAGTGGTAGTTTCCGGAAGTTTTTTTTTTTTTTGAAATTTTTCAAGTTCATTCCAAGAGGTTCTAATTCTATTGTGCGATTAAACCCACCTGCTGAGTGCATTTTTGTTAGACAATATCTTTCATTATAAATGCTATTCTAGCGGCATAAAGTGTTACCATCACGTATTCTCTTACGATCTTTGCACATTTCATCGGGATATAAAAACATAAAAATGTATCGCCTAAACCACTTAATGATAAAATTTATATAAATGTCTAAATCTGACTCTTGAGCCTGCATGAAGGCTTACATCAATCAGTTTGGATAATTCATAATTATTTGTAGACGCATCCTTTCCTAACGTCTCTTTGCTCTGTTAAAAATGGAAAATATCCATCTCATAGATATATAAAACTAGATGACTTGGTTCTCATTGCTGGGCTATAGTATTGTATTATGCATTTTTAACAACATTATAATAGTCAAATTGATTAAATGTATTGCTTCCCTCCTATATATAGCCCCCAAATATAGTGTGTGTAGGTCCATATTTTCGTATAGCCTCCATATAACGGTACCTCCCCATATTCGGTATTTTCATGATTTGTTTTTATACCCTCCACCATACTATGGAGGGTATATTAATTTTGTCATTCCGTTTGTAACTCCTCGAAATATTCATGTCAGACCCAACAAAGTATATATATTCTTGATCAGCGTAAAATTCTAAGACGATTTAGCCATGTCCGTCTGTCTGTTGTAATCACGCTATCTTTCGAACAAATTGAGATAGAAGACTAAAATTTTGCACATGTATATTTTCCCAGTAGGCAGGTTAAGTTCGTAAATGGGCCATGTAGGTCCAAGTTATCATATAGCCCCCATATAACGGTACCTCCCGATATTCGGTATTTTGATGATTTTAGCGACATTATTCACCGGAATTATTGGTATTTGAAGTTCGTAATGGATACTACAGCCTAAGACAGAAAATTATCTGTGCAGGTCCACGTCTTCATATGGCCCCCATATAACGGTACCTCCCGATATTCGGTATTTTGATAATTTTAGCGACATTGTTTACCGGAATCGTTTCAAATTTGGTATTTGAAGTTCGTAATGGATACTTCATCCAAAGTCAAAAAATGAGCCATGTAGATCCACGTCTTCATATAGCCCCCATATAACGGTACCCCCCGATATTCGGTATTTTAATGATTTTAGCGACATTATTTACAAGGATTCTTTCAAATTTCGCATGTGAAGTTCGTAATGGATACTTCAGCCCATGCCAGAAAATTGTCTGTGCAGGTCCACGTCTTCGTATAGCCCCCATATAACGGTACCCCCCATATTCGGTATTTTGACGATTTTAGCTACATTATAAACAGATTTTTCTTCAAGTTTCGCATTTAAATATTGTAATAATTTATGACAAAAGTTGCCTATGCAGGCCCACGTCGTCGTATAAGCATTCGGTATTTTTAAGATTTTAGAATTTTTAATGGTTTTTTTTTTTTTTTGGAAATTGCCAAATTTGTACCAAATGGTGGAGGGTATTAAAAGTTCGGCCCGGCCGAACTTACAGCTTTTTTACTTGTTACATTATCCACGGATTCGTCTAAAAATTGGTATTTGTTGTTCTTAAAGTGTTTTCGCTCCAGTGGCAGAACATTGAATATCTAGGACCACGTTTTCCTATAGCCGCCATATAATGCTGATATTCGGTATTTTGATAATTCTTGTCACATTTTTTAAAACTTGGCATTTAAGATTTGCAATAGATAACAATCCTTGCAGTATAAAGTTGTCCAAACAGGTACCCTTTTTGGTATGGTCACCCATATAACGGGCTGACTCACTTTTGTTTTATTTCATCCTTTTATTTCCTCTCTGGATATACTTCCGCTTTCTCGCCCACGTGATCCAATGGGCATAATTTATTGACTGGCATTGTTAAAAAGCTGTAATGTGGTTATACAAGTTAACACATAATAAGTTGTTAGCCCAATAAAATATAGTTTTTTTCTTAACAAATCATTCCAAACTCATAAATTCCAATGAAACTGCATTGCAGACATTCGTCTGCCCTAAATATTTTCCCAACATTCAATTCCTATTAATTATTTAAATATACCAAAAAAAAATATATTTCCGGTAGTTGACTTCGTCATTCCATGCAACGCTTAGCGCGTCTAAACAAAATTAATAACAGCAGCCAAAGAATAAAGTCGGTTCAAAAAAAATAATCGTCTTTTATTTCGGTAAAAATGCAGCAGTGAAACTTTTGATAAGTTTGATAAAGTAACTTCAATTTTGACAATTGAAAGTTACAAGATTAAAAGGAGTCCGCGGTCCTTTTCGGTAAAGTATCACGTAAGGATCAAGTTGATCCTTTTTTTAAGACCTCTACACAGAAAGGTCTAACTTACAGCAACAACACTTACAACTCCATCTCTTCGGACGGACTTTTATCACTTTCGCTAGCACCCATTGCACCGGATGTTTTTGCATTATATTCCCCTTTCTTCAATTTAATTCTTTCTGTAAAGTCATTTGATTCTAGCTTGAACGGCCAATTATGAAATGTTCTCGTATTAGGCTGTCAATATATTTTGTAAAGTCCCCGAATTTGAGACGGCTTCAATCTGAGCTATATTTTAATTGGGCCATTGCTAATTGAATATTTGTTATTGTATTGGTGTTCATAACATTTGTATGCCTCTTATCACCAATGTACGTGATTCATTTCAAAAGCCCTAACTCCATTTAATGGGGGTATATTAAGCTTGTCATTTTAGAGCCCTCCCTGTATATATATATATATATATATATATATATATATATATATATATATATATATATATATATATATATATATATATATATATATATATATATATATATATATATATATATATATATATATATATATATATATATATATATATATATATATATTTATATATATATATATATATATATATATATATATATATATATATATATATATATATGGGCAGGTACTGTTATATGGCGGCTATACGAAGACGTGGACCCAGACAATTTTCTGCAATAGGCTGTAGTATACATTACTAACTTCAAATATTACATTGTAAACAATTCCGGTGGATAATGTCGCGAAAATCATCAAAACACCGAATATCGGGAGGTACTATTATATGGGGGCTATACGAAGACGTGGACCAACACAGACAATTTTCTGCAATAGGCGGCAGTATCCATTATACACTTTAAATTCCAAATTTCAAACAATTCCTGTGAATAATGTCGCTAAAATCATTAAGATACCAAATATCGGGAGCTACCGCTATATGGGATATATACGAAACGTGGACTTGTACAGACAATTTCTGTCTTAGGCTGTAATAACCATTACGAACTTCAAGTACTAAATTTGAAACCATTCCGTTGAATATTGTTTCTAAAAGCATTAAAATACCGAATATGGGCAGGTACCGTTATATGGAGGGTATACGAAGATGTGGACATGCACAGACAATTTTCTGTCTTAGACTTTAGTATCTATTATGAACTTCAAATACGAAATTTGAACCATTCCCGTGAATTATGTCGCAAAAATCATCAATGTAACGAATATGGGCAGATACTGTTACATGTGGGCTATACGAAGACCTGGACCTGCACAGACAATTTTTTGTCTTAGGCTGTATTATCTATTACGAACTTCAAATAGCCGATTGGAAACAATTCCGGTGAATAATGTTGCTAAAATCATAATAATACCGAATATCGAGAGGTACCGTTATATGGAGGCTATGCAAAGACGTGGACCTGTACAGACAATTTTCTGTTTTAGGCTGTAGTATCATCAGCATCATCATAATACCGAATATCGGAAGGTACTGTAGCGTATCAGCAATGAAGTTAGGCCGATGATACATAACCCTTGAGAAATGAAATGAAACATGTTGTTTCTTCGACTATCTGATAACTACTGTTAGAATCTCCATTTTATTAATTCCTAAAATAATTATGTTAATATGCAATGAAGAATGTAATTGTGGGTTATAGCACTAACACAAATAATATAATAATATCATTTTACACTGTTGCATTAAGTATTCCAAAGAGTACTAACACAGATAATTTTAACGTTTAGTATAATTTGAAATATTTGTAATATTTTCAAAATGCCACAATACCCCATGTTATTTTTTACGTTAATAATTAAAATTAGGAAATTTCACGCGTCTTCCCGACCGTGGAGGGTTGTTGGTGTTGTTCTGGTCTTTGACGATCTCATTTGTATCGCCCTGCTCTTTAAGTAGCTCAGAGGAGTTGTGTTGAGTATTCTCACCTTTGGTGTTTCCTCTAGAATAAAACGTGCTGGTTTAAGCCGATCTATATACGAAGTATTTTTTATGCCGCTGATCAACTTCAAAATGGCCTTCATACGGTGGTTCGAAAGGTAGCCGAACGGGGTCTGTATTGACGAAAACATATTTGCATTTTTGTAAGTCATCATCGATGTATGGCTTTGCATTAGAATGCCAAATCACACATAGCTTGCCGAGGTTTCTTGACGAACTCAGTTTGGCTCTCTTCCAGTCTACTCTGTCCAAAAAACCCGCCGGGCAATCGTAGTTGTGTTCCATAAAGCATTTGGGCTGGGCTGGCACTAATATCAGGCTTCACTGTTGTCCGAAGTCCGAGCAGAACGAGTGGAAGAACGAAACACCAATCATTTGTGGCGTAGCATTTGATGGCACTCTTTAGTGTTCGATGTCATCTCTCAATCATACCATTCGCTTGCGGGTGGTAAGCCGTTGTGGGCAAATGACGTATGCCAAACGTTTTTGTTAGCTGTTCAAACAGAGACGATTCAAACTGCCGATCAAGATCTGTAGTGATTTTCTCTGGAACGAAAGCTTTTACAACCGTATGCGCAGAAATATCGGGGATTGGAATTGCTGTAGGCCACCTCGAAAATCTTTCGATGCATGTGAGGCAACAACGATTACCAGCTGATGTCGGCAGAGGTCCAATTAAGTCGATATTTATATGCTGGAATCGTTTATCTGTGGCAGCATACTGTTCAAAAGAAGCTGAGGTGTGACGTCCAGTCTTCACCTGTTGGCACGGTATGCACTTCCGAACAAAAGCTGCAAAGTCTCTTGCACTGCCCGGCCAAACAATCAGGTCCATTATTATACGTCGCGTAGCACGAATACAAGGGTGCGACAAATTGTGCAGCTTCCTCAGAACCAATTCTCTTTGACTAGGTGGAACGTACGGTCGAACCCGTTGACCATTGACATTACAATACATGAATTTATCTGTGTTAAATTAGCGAAGAGCTAAATTAAGCGAAGAGCTCTTACCAGGCTCCAAAAGAGACTTCAACTCTTCGTCGTGCTCTTGCTCGGCAGCCATTATTTCAAAATTAACTTCATTTGTCGTGAGCGTGTTGATTCGAAACAACCAATCGGCAACATTGTTGTCTGCTCCACGAATATGTTGGATGTCGGTGGAGTACTGGCTTATATAATCGAGTTGCCGCACTCTCCTCGGCGAAGCTTTTCCACAACTTTGCTTAAATGCGAAAATAAGTGGTTTGTGGTCGGTAAAGATAGTAAATTCACGCCCATCCAACATGTGTTTGAAATGCTCAACACCTTCATAGACTGCAGTAAGATATCTGTCGTAGGCACTATAATTTCGTTGTGCATCGGTCAGTCGTTTGGAATAAAAACCAAGGGGGTTTGCTCTGCCATCGACGATTTGATGAAGCCAAGTAGTATAATAATGCCGCGTTGGCTATTTCAGATTTACAAGCTTTAAAGGCTCTTCGGCTTCAGCAGACCAACTAATTCTGGTTGTGTCGCACTTTCTGTTATCACTGACCAACTGTTGTAACACATACTGGTGATTTGTAGCCTGTGGCAAAA